GTGCTCCGAAATATATGCAAAGAGTTTACATAGAACAAATTTTCATAAATACATTGTTATTATGCTTAATTGTTTACAATGTTTATAAAACTTATTGGGATAAACGAACGTACAGCTGTTTTTTGTATAATAAATACCTGCTGTGGATTTGTAACAAAAGTATTCCCCCACCTTCTTTTCCTAATATAGAGAATAACACATATTGCCTTTGATTCACAAAATGTGAGATTTTGGTTATTACAAAAAATTTCTTGGATAATTGTATGCTTAATTTATCGATATGATGTGATCATGAGAGACGGGTGTCAAAGTACACTTCAAGTAATTTAACATTCTTATTGTTTTGTTATTTATTCATCCTGGAAGATGGAAAATGCAGATGTGTCAGTTTGATCATTTGATAAATTCTACATTTTTTTAACTATTTGCACCTTTAAAAGAGATATTTGTGTATTATCTGCATTCATGATGCTATTTAATTTTTTAGTATACATCGTTCAAATAAAGCAAAAACAGTAGCGGGTCTAAGATTGATCTTTGCGGAATCTCTTTCTGACAAGTAATTGACTCCGATTGTTACTTAAAAAAAAAAACGTTGTTTGCTGTTACTGAAGTAAGAAACTATTAATATATTTTCCTTTCCCCTTAAGGCGTATTTATTTAGTTTTTCTTCAGCAGGATACAATTAACACAATCAAAAGTTTTAGATAAATCTATAAAAATGCTTATGGTTTTCAATATATAGATAAATGTTCTCTTCTCTCCTATTCTGGTTTTTTAGATTTTATATTATTTACTATAGACTCTATGTATTTTATCATAATTGTAATATGATCTTGATATATTTTATCAATGAAAAATTCCATATAACAGTAGAGTCCTGTTCACGGTTGTTTCTAACAAATGAAAAACATAATTTTGAAAACACAGGTAGTTATATAAATATAGAGTTTTCAATTTATTTTCTTTAACTACTAGTTTGTAGTGTTAGCATTTCTGTTTGAAATGATTTAAATACATTGTTGTATACTTAGTGCATTTAAGTAAGTAGTCTTATATACACGGCTGGAAAATCCATATGGTCCACATGAGAGCGACAAAGTAAAGTAAAGAAATCCGTGCGATAGACAAGGATGGCTATACTGAAGACATTTCATAATCTGAATAGTAATCGCCCGTTTCGGGTTAGAATTGGGAGTGACTAAGATTATTATCAAACGTCATCAATATAGCTATCCTTGTCTATCGCACGGGTTTCTTTACTTTACTTTGTCGCTCTCATGCACTGAAAGAAATGGGCTTATTAAACTGTTTATCTAGAATAATGTGTATAGCGCATATTAAAACTTTTATAAAAAATATACAACTTTTATTAAAAAAAAGCAATCATCTCCATACTCATTATTCAATGAGTTTAACTGGAAGGTGCTTAATACACCGTATGCATCTATGAAATAAAGTTTATAATGAATTACTTATACCTACATTATTATATGTTATAGACTATGTTCCAATTGTATAGTAGGGAAGATTTGTTGTATAAAGACCAGTATCCGAATTTGTATATAACAATTGTATTAACAGAATTATTCGTTCTTATACTGAATATGTTTCCGTTTTTAACGTGTAAAACGCATCTTATAATGGTTAAGTGATCGTCACCTCTCGGTGCATAATCGGTTATGATCGTTGTTAAGTTATATTCATAGTCTTGTAATAATAATCATATGTCAGACCCGAGAGCGAAGTGCGCCGACTCAATAAGAAACCTGGCTATTCCAGCCGCTGATTTAGGGTTCGCCGCACGAGCTCATCCCTTCTAAGATTTCAGTAGCATGCTATGCATGAAGCAGAACGGTACTCAACTATCTTATACAGTCCACTTTTATTGTCCATACATGTTCAATCATTGTCAAAATAAACACACAAAACCACAACGTCTTTATTATCTTTACTCAAGAAGAGAAAATACAACAATCGTAAAATTTCCGACAGTCCGCTGTGCATCGACTTACACACGTCTAGTTTGATGAAAATGGACAGTATATGCACATGTTTTGTGGGATACATGATCATATCGCGTTGTGTGAAATGGAAAATTATTATGTAAGTATCTAACTGTTTTATGGCTTGTAATTGTTTTGTTTTTTCAAATGTAAATCTTGTCTAAATCTTAAAAATTATTATTTTGTAGGTCCTATTAGAAATCGCTGATGTTAAGTTTTACATAAGATGGAGGAACAGAAGGTTAACGGTGACAAAGAAGAGCATGGGTATAAAGTCAATCAACCAGAGGAAATAAAATTATATGGAAAGAAGCTCAACCTTTCTGGGGATGCTTCATTCTTAAGGTGGAAGAGTTATAGTGCAAATTCTCATGTAATACAAGAAAATACGGGTGCATCGTTGCTAAGAAAATAAACTGGACAGTTTTGGGAGCGATTTGTCATCATTTTTAATGCTTAAAAGTATGTTTTATGTATGTTTACATTAGAACCTTAGCTTGTAATTACAGTTATCCAATAAAATTTTTGAAAACTTAATGTCATATGTGTTTAACTCATACAGAGTATACAACAGTTTAATACATTTATTATTATAAAACTTATAACCAGTACTAGATGTTCTAATAACGATATGGAACACTTTAATAACAGTTATTGCTATTATTTCGTAAAGGGTATAAAAAACGTTGTATACTAGTTATACAATAATTTAATAAAGAATAAGGTTTATAGTCACTATACAACTGTGCTAGCAGTACGCGTTTTATATCCAATATTCACCTATTTAACTGTCACATATAGTATACAATGGTCTTATAATGGCATATAGAATTCTAATAAAGAAGTCTAAGAAGAATTCAGTGAGTAAAGGCAGATAGACCATGCGGATTTTCCAGCCGTGTATATCTATTTTTTTCTAGATACTTGACAAGGAGAAAACCTCTTGCGTTGTTTTTACAAAATATTTTGTAAGTTCAAAATCAGTTTTATGACTTCTAAAGGCCACCTTCATGTGAAGGTGAATGCGACCAGGGTGATTCATTAACAACAGGAAAACCGAAAACTGAAGATACTATACGTGAAATGGTGACCATTGGCACAAAGATGCCTTATCCGAACCATTTTTGTTTGGCCACCCAGAAATCGGGACTTCAATCCTCTTGATTTTCCTATTTGGTCTCGAATGAAAGATATAGTTTACAAAGAAAATATCGGTTCGCGTGAAGAGTTGTGGCAAAGAATACAAATCGCTGCCAACGAAGTAAGATTCAATCCCAATATGTTGTTTCGAAGATCTCTCAGAGAGAGACGTTGTGTAAAGTGTATCAGTATCAACGGTGGATTCTTCGAACCATCGATTTAAATCATTATTACGTATTTCATTTGTTTTATTGTTAATTGTTGTAATAACATGAAGAAAAACGTGGTTTGTTTTGCTTTTAATTTTTCGTATTATCAAAACATAGTTTTCGTTAAATCGATTTTTCTCGAAAACGGATCGAGATACCGAAATGAAACAAGAATACATAATTAATGAAAAATGATTGCTCTTTCAGGTTTTGATTCAAGTTTCATGTTTGACATACAGGGTAAAATGTGAAATTGGTCGTAAGTGGCGCCCTCTATAAGCAAGGATGAAATTGCAGCACGCATCTTATTCATCGCTTAAAAAAATGTAGTTTCACAAATTTTTTCACAAGTTCCTAACCTACATATTTTCAGAATAATCGCGAAAAAACGGTTTAAAATTTTAACTCTCAACACCCTGTATTTCCGAAACTATCAAGTTTCGGATAATGCATGTTTGCGCTAATGGTCACCATTTCACGTATAGTATCTTCAGCTTTCGATTTTCCCATTGTTAATGATTCACCTTGTATACGGGGTGTCCCGAAATTCATACCACAAAATTTGGTCACATTTTCTTAAGACAAATTTAGGGGGCCCGTATTTTTTATTTTTACCAAGTGGCTCCCTCTTTAGCAGTTACAGCCCCCTGAAGTCCGCCCCTAAGAATAATCTTTTTTTTATATCTTAGAACCCTGTTGTACGAGAATCATTTAATTTGGTACAGAGGGGTTTTATGACATGTGGAATCTGATGGTGCTACGTTTTTTGGCGAGGAATCCCCTTAAGACAATTTTTCGTGGGCCCCTTGTCTTTGAAGCTAAAAAATTTAGTCGCATATTTAAATTTCTTAAAAATTATCAGTCCATTAAAAAGCCATTAAATTTAGAAACCTTTTGTCTCTTTATATTTTTTTCACAAAACGCATTGTTTTCAAGAAAAATGCCAAAATGTGATAGAATGCATATCGTGATTCGCCATTTTCCTCAAAAACATTGCGTTTTACGAAACAAATATCAAGAGACAAAAAAGTTTCTAAATTTAATGGCTTTCTAGCTAACAAATAATTAAAAAAAATAATAAATTTGCGACCAAACTTTTCTAGTTCCAAAGACAAGGGGGCCCACGAAAAAGTGTCTTAAGGGGGTCTCTCGCCAAAATGCTTAGCACTGTGAGATTCCACATGTCATAAAATCCCTGTGTACCAAATTTAGTGATTCTCGTACAATATGGTTTTGATATAAAAAAGGGGACTTCTTAGGGGCAAATTTCAGAGGGCTGTAACTCCGAAAGAGGGGGCCAGTTGGCAAAAAAAAAATACGGTGAGGGTTGCTTTCGATGTACAGCAAGAATAAAACGCTCTCTCAACGGTAATAATAAACTATTTTTATTGAAAACTAAGCTTGTGGAAAAAGACGTGTTGATGGTTCGAGTGTTTGTTGGAGAGTCCCTGTCTGTAGAGTCGGTCGTAGGTATATGGGTACGCGTCTGGTCTCCGGCGTCAGTGGACCCTTCTTGGAATGCTGGCGGCGTCTGCTGGCGTTCTTGACGTAATGCTTAAAAATGGGTCACTTGCAAACATGTGTACTCCCCTGCCAGTATGGATGCCATCACGGAACCTGCAGCCGGTCAGGGAAACGGACCCTTCTACCCGGACCTAATGGTAATTGCCTTGGGTGTGGTTGGCACGGATAATGGGGCAGAAGTTGACGGAAGGCTATTGTCCTCGTCGCCAGCAGCTGTCGCATCATTCAAACAATATGCAGGTTTGACTCTGTCTATGGACACTTTAACTTTGCGACCACGCACTAACACTGTGAATGTTTTGTCGTCGCGTTTGATCACTGTAAACGGACCATCATATAGGTTTTGTAGTTGAGTTTTAACGCCGTCCGCACGCACAAAAACACGTGTCGCTGTTGCCAAGTCTTTAATAACGAATGGCGTCTTGTCGCCATGGCGTTTAACTGCGGCTGGACGTAAGCTTTCCATATGACGTCTGAGGTCCTTAACAAAATTCGCTTCGGTGCTGAACTCTTCGTCTATTGTCCTGCGGGAATAAAGAAATTCTCCGGGTAGGCGTAGATGCTGTCCGTACACCATCTCGGCCGCGGTAGCTTGAATGTCTTCTTTCCATGCTGCACGTATTCCCAATAGCACAGTGGGAAGAACGCTAGTCCATTGATCGTTTTGGTGGCATTTTATCGCTGCTTGAGTAGACTATGAAACACAGATTCCCCGGAAATCGTTCTAACTGAGGATGTCGCAGAATGCGCGAGTTGGCCTGCCGCCGTAATTCGCGTTGTTTCGTTAAGTAGTCTTTTGTTGCGCACGTCCACCAGTAATCCATAAAAAGATAAAAAGTCTGCACTAATTATCGGTTTAGAGACATCTGCGACGACAAATTGCCATGTAAAACAACGACGCAACCGGAGGTTTAATGTCATTGTCACTGTGCCGTACGTAGCAATTGGGGTACCATTTGCCGCGGAAAGTTCGTACGTCGATTTCGATCGCGTCATTTCACTAGCGCACGCGGATATACACAAAGATCAGCACCCGCATCGACGAGAAACTGGACCTTGGAGTACGTGTCCGTAAGGTACAAACGGCGCGGAATCGGCCACGGGTCGCTGTTCGCCATCATCGACTGCCCGTCTCGTTTCCCGGACGATACGTGCACGGATAGCGGCACGTTCGAGCGCGGTCACCAAAACGTTGGTGATACCAGCACTGACCACTGTCACTGTCACGGCTTCGCGATCGGTTTTGCGAACGCGATCTGGGTGTTCTCGTCGTCGGTCGCCGCGGTTCACTCTTCGCGAATAGCTTCGCCATTGCCTGCGACATCTCCACTAACTGTTGCTCGATGCGATTCAGTCTGTCGTCTTCTGGACTGGATCTGGCCACCTCCTGAAGCGCTGTGCCAGGCATTACTATCTCCATAACTGCGTCGGCCAGCTCCGCGACATCGTCCAACGCGGCATTCTTCTGTGTCGCGAGAATTGCCTGTACACTAGACAGCAGGCGCCCTATCCACAGCGTGCGTAGGAGCGAATCGGAAACGGTAGACGCTGCTAAAGCCTTTAATCGGCGCAAAAACTGGGACGGTTTCGAGTCCCCGATTTCTTCGCGCTCTAGGAGTCGCCTCGTTTTTTGTTCCTGAGACGTACTCAGTCGTCTTATTAAAGCTGCCCTAAGTGCGGAGTAAGGCTTGTCTTGGGGTGGATTCATCACCAGGTCGCTCACTTCACTCATCACGTTTCTGTCTAGAGCAGTAATGGGGTAGTTAAACTTTGTTTCTTCACTTGTCACACTGTCCACTACCTGAAGCCACATCTCTGCATCGTCCGAAATAAATGGTGGAAGTTTCACTGCGACATGGTTCACTTCCGTCGCGGTATAATTTTCGACTTGGTTTTTTTCGTTGAGGCTCATGTCGTTTGCTGAGTTGCGCCAAATAAAACCACTCTAACTGCACAAAATCGCGTACTTTCACTGAAAAGATCACGTCGGTTGAAAAATCACGTCGAGGTCACCACTTGAGGGTTGCTTTCGCTGTACAGCAAGAATAAAACGCTCTCTCAACAGTAATAGTAAACTATTTTTATTGAAAACTAAGCTTGTGGAAAAAGACGTGTTGACGGTTCGACTGTTTGTTGGAGAGTCCCTGTCTGTGGAGTCGGTCGTAGGTATATGGGTACGCGTCTGGTCGCCTTCTTGGAACGCTGGCGGCGTTCTGCTGGCGCTCTTGACGTAATTCTTAAAAATGGGTCACTTGCGAACATGTGTACCCACAACGGATCCCCAAATTTTGTTGCAAGAATTTCGGGACATCCTGTATAACAAAACGGAAACACTTCTTTTTCGAGATACGATATGTTGAAAATTAATTTAAAGGTTTGTAAAAAAAATGGGAAATATAACTAGGTACTAACTTCTGCTTTTGGAAGTACAGGACAGGAACAGATTCGGAAGGAAAATAATAACATGTTTGTGTCTTATCAGAATAAAGATTCCCAACAAGAGAGTGAATTGCACTGGTTTAAAAATCTGTAACAAGTTTATTTTAATTCCATTAAAAAATAGTATAAGACTAATTAATGTCTTTTAGAAATGTGTTGCCATTTTATTAGACCAAAAATGATTAGTGAGACCTAAGTAAGCCTCAGATTACAATCAATAATTGTACTTTTATTGCTTCAGTGCAGTTGATATGCGCCCGATCACCTGCAAAGACAGATAATTATTCTTCAACAGGTATGTAATATCTATGTTCATTGCGCATCTGTAGGCGTGGCAAAACGAGAGCTTTACACTCTTGTATGAAACACCTTGTATCTCGAAGACGAAGTATTTTTTGGGAAATTTGTGACGTAGATACCGCCATTACAGTTTGGCCTATTATTTTAAGTGCATCCACAAAATTGAAAAAATATTTTCTTGTAATTTACAATTAAATTTTTTCTCCTAGTAAAAACCGTAAGCGATTTCAATTTATACGTTTATTTAAGTAATAAATTTTACCGCATTGTCTACCGAAATGTAAAAGCAAACAACTAATTTGTCATAAATCAGTTACCCAAATCCAATTATCGAACAGAACGCATTAATTTTAGCTTGAATCTAGACTAGAAATATTGGTGGTGAATTGCCTGCCAAAATTAATTGATTAATTAGTGATACCTTGCTCAAAAAACTTTACTTCTGACATTCAGAAATAACCTGTACCATTGCAAAAAACATTCGTTAAAAATAAATGAGAAATTAATTTCAAGCGAACTTCTATAAATTACGTTCAAAGGTACTATTTTCAAGAGAGAGAGGTTGAAAGTTCTGTTTATTTTTCAGAGGGGTATAACTACGTATAAATAAATATAGATACATAAGTAGTATTCCTGTTTAATGTGTCTTAATTAACTATAAATACGGGTGTCCCACGACGACGAGACATTAGACATATTTCAGAGTGTTTTCGGACATGCCCTTCTCAACTAAAATCATGGCGTCCACCTAAGATTCCGGTTATACCGGAAGTTGACCTCACCTTCGTTATTTTAAATAGAACACCCTGTACATTATTGCAATTTTGGTTTCTACGTCAATTTTTAGGTGAACTTTCATAATGGTTCCCTGTTCTTAAAGTTAACCATTTTTGATAAAAAAAATTAAACAAGCACTGCCTAATTCAAAAAGCTGTGTATTTTACAATAATAAAGTTAGAGCGATAAAATTTATAGGGGACATAACTAAAACTTTAAGCTTCCCTGCCATAATTTCAAAATGGCTTAATTTCATACAGGATGGTAGAAATTTAATGCCGAATTTAATCAACTTTAAACCATCTCAACTTATTTTTTATATGTAACACCCTGTATATTTTTGCGCAACCTGATGAACAATTTCGTTCTCAGGGACATCCTGTATAGATAGATACATTTATGAGCAAATTTCTTCATTTTCAATTCTCACTAAACGAATTGTAAATAAATTAAACCCATGTCAAATAATGCCCGATAAACTAATTAAATAATATGTTTCATTATCTTCCTTCAGGAATCACTAGTATAATTTTGTATAATTTTGATAGAGTAGAACCATAACCATAATAATCCAAGAATATCTTGTAATACAAGTTTTATATTTTAATCTGAGTGAACTTATATACTAAACATACTTTTTTATTTCAGTAAAAATACTTACTTAAATACTTAAAATACTATATATAAATGGTTCCTTAGTTATTGCTAAATACTGAAAATATGTGGTAAAACGTAATCATCTAGCAATAAACTAATTAAAGAACTTAATTAATAGGCTAAAATTCCTCCGTATTAATAAATTTTATGAAAGGACAAGTCATCAAAGAATTTTTCCATTTTACGCTTTATCCGCTAACTTATATAAAACTTATTACATCATTATGTTTGACGTCTTCTAATTTATTAAGTATAAATAAGGTTCTTTCCGCCACCATTTCCAGCCATAAAACTTTATGGTTCCTTACTTTCTTTGATAATTAAATATAAAACTGAAGTAAAATTAGGAATTAGAACTGCAACTTTGAGTTGCTTTTCCTGCACTTTTTTAGACAATTTCTCATCTACTTTGAAGATATCTTTCCCCTCTTTACTCAATTAAATAGGTATAACAGTTAATAATTGGTATTACTGTTCATGCGTTATATTTTTAATTTTTGTAAAAAAAGGACAATATCCTAAAGCATATCGTTTCTCTAGAACTAAACTAATCTAAGTACAAAGTTTAAAAATTTGCATTTTATACTTTAGTCTTAGTGATACTGAATTATAAAATGCAAATATTAAAATGTTGGACATAACAGTCCTGATCTCAAGAGACGATGTGCAGATTGCAGAAGCCAAACATAGAACCACTCGTATGTCTCTCTTAATCGATATTGAAATGTTTTCACATATTTGTAGGAAATAATTTTCGGTAAAGCGATTGATTTGATGGAATCAATTTGATTTTGATCATAAGCGTCCGGTTCTAAAATTAAAAAGAGTTTAACTTTTTCCAAAAAACGTGTTTTTCTTTTTAAAAGGTTAATATTATAATATAATTTAGTGTCCCTAGAAATTTCTCTCCACCACGTTCTAATAAAATATCTTTAAAAGTGCTCGAGATATGGATACCCAAATATTTAGTTTTGTTTTTACATTTACATGATCGTTCAATTCTGAAGCAATTTATTTTATTTAGTTGGCAACAAGAGTACCCCCTAAGAATTTATATTTATTGAATATATTCACAACAAACCGAAGAAAATAACATAATAATCTCAATAATTATCTCTATTTCAATTAACCAACTTCCTTTTTCTATACATTTTTCTAACCTTTTACCACTTTCCTTTAGAAATATCAAAACGTTTTAATTTAAAATAACCGAGTTATAAGAGTGGTTCCATGAAATGTAAAATAAAATATTTACATTTGTTAAACATTGTATAGATCAATTTCCTCAAGTCTGGCGATGAAATACCATGCAGATATCCTAAGATATACTTACTGCTAGAGTTTGACTAGTTCGACACTTTGGTGCGTAAAAAAGACGTCGATGAGTACTGGAAGCTCCGGGGTTTGCATTGTGAACCGTGGCTTGTTTCCTTCGTCAGTTATCTAATGCACTAAGACGAGCTGTTAAATCTAAAGAAATTTAAAAGTGTCTCGTTCGAGATATACTAATACAATAATTAAACATTACTAATACAATTATTAAACATTTTGTGATTTACATTGTGATGGAACAGTAATAAAATGTATTGCTGGACATATGTTAGTATCACTATAAAAAAATATATTAAACGTCAAATACTATCTTTTTTGACTTATTATGAATAATTTTGATTATTTTGTCGGAAATATATACCTAACTGACCTTAATGCTGTTGATTTTATTGTAATATCCATCAGGATAAAGAAGAAGCGGGCAGTAACAAATAGTTGGACTTAATTGGAAAAAAATGTGGATAATTGTAGACGAAATTAAAGATAGAAAATAAAATAAAATACTTTTATTGTGTATGTATGACCTTAGACGTGGGGAAGTACCTATTTACAAATTTGTTACTTTTCATTATAAAGCTTACCTTATCCTCAGTGTTTCACCCTATTTTAGGGGATATTTTAGCGTTTTGCTAAAAAATGCAGGTACAGAACTTTTTTTGTGGGCTGTGTTATTAAAGTGGAGGTATATACTGAAAACAGTTATATACTTTCGACATTTTATCTTCAACAGTCGTTGCCATTATTTCATTAAAATTATCTAAGTTGTTTACAAGTATTCAGTTTCTAAATTATCAAGTTTAGAATTTACCTCTAGCCTGCCGATTTGGGAAAACTTTGTAATGAGAGAACGATTTCAATAAGTGTCCTGCCACGTTAAATTAAACTGTTCCAAATTCTGAAACTCCATATAATAACATAAACTTGTTACAAAATAATATATAAGCTTCCCCTTTGATACATCATACATATATTAAATAAACAAAGGATCTTTAATTATGAATAACAATATTTATATACTACTGGAATAGAATATTCTGTTACGTTTGCAGTTTCCGTTTATAATGGACTGTTTCCGTAAATATTCTTATACACAGGACGTCACAAGTTTTAATCGAAAAAATTTAGTAGGCGACAGAACTTGCAAAAATAAAAGGAAAAGGTAATTTGAACTTTTATGTTTTAAAGTTCCTTTTTCAAAACACAGGATGTTAAAGTTAACAAAAAACAGGTTTTCAAATATCTCAAAAATGATATCCTATTTATTACTTCATTTTATTAATGAAATTAAATTATTTTTTCCAGGGGCGAGCGGAAAACAATTTTTATCTTTTTTCTTAAAAAGGAAGCAAGANGTATATACTGAAAACAGTTATATACTTTCGACATTTTATCTTCAACAGTCGTTGC